GCGGGTTAATCACATGAATATACGTACTGACAAAAGCTCTACTAGTTTCGAACCACAGAGGGGTTCTTCCTCATGAGCAGCGTGCGCGCTCGCGGCGACGTCGCGCAGCCTACTGTATATTCCCATTTTTCGATATATTCACGTGAGTAACACGCGATTTTTAGTTAATTAATATAAATTATTTCACGAATTGCGTCAAATTTTAATTTATATAAACTGCACCTATACAGCAATAATAAATAATGAATCACGCACTGAGGAAGATTACTCAAATAGAAATGAGATTTATCAAGTCAAGCCACAAATAACAAATAAATCTCCAGTAACTCAACACTGTCTAAAAAACAAAATATTTTAAATGGAGCCATATTCAATTAGCCATGTAGTCCAACCATAACTGCAATTTCTAATAAGAACAAAGAATTCTGAGCAAAAACTAACTCGATTTAATAGCTTTACAAACTTGACTACAGACTACAAGGGTGATACATCACTTGGAATTAGCCATAAATAATTCTAGTTATTTTTTTCTATACATAAATTAAAGAGTTAACGCTAGTAGCACGCGGAATATCCTTATTGTTATAACGGAGTGCGCTTTTAGCTTAGTTATCAAGTCGGCACACGCAATCCTACAATCAGGCTTGGACCACAATGAATGCATATCGAAAACTACATTTTAGCACCTCAACAATACATAAATAATCCCCTTCCGTGATTTTACGAAACATACAAAAGCAAGGAATTGCGTTCTTTTATATTAAAGCAAAATTTAGGTCAACGTTTATTTAGCCTTTGTTATTATAATTGTGTTCGTTAGTGACTTTCTTTCCATTGTCAATTTATTAGAATTCTCATTTTTAATGTAAAAACTGTTTACTTAAAGACTAGATAATAAAATGGTTTATCTTGATGTCTATAAAATTGGATGAAGGTAATGGAAAGTCTTGAAGTTGCTGATTTGCTGATAGAATCGCAGTAATTTGAAGGTCACTGGTAAATAAAGTAACGTGATGTAAGGAATATGACGATAATAAGCAAGCGATGTATTACATATCGTGGTGTTTACACACAAAAAAACAACAAACATCAATCTATATTTGTAAGTTTCTAATCCACATTATTTTCACCTATCGAACATTCCTCGAGAGTTTTAATTTTGTACAAGCCTTTAAGAAATCTACACGGGTCTACGTATCACCTACGTAACGTATAGTATACCGTAGCAGATCTAACTACGGCGTAGTCTATTCACCTAAAGACCAACACTAATGAGATGAAAAAGTCAAATAAATAACATTATGCATATAAATTAACTAAAAATCGCGGGTTACTCACGTGAATATACCGAGAAAAGCTCTACTAGTCTCGAACCACAGAGGGGTTGTTACTGTACACTGATTTTTAGTTAATCTAACATATTAAATTATAATAATAATCTCATGATAATTATTATAAAATCCTTATGCATGTAAACTATGCAAAATCTATTTACTCATGGGTGTTATATAAGCCTATAAAAAGAATAACGATTGGACATTGACCAGGCAACAGCTCACTGGTAAACATGAATCATTTAACTACGTTTCTCATACTGTGGACAGTCACGAGCCATAGACGATGAGGATATGGACTAAAACTTTATTGACCTATATTAAAATCCACAATCAGAAGAAACTAATACACCAAGGTCTTTTTCAAAAATACTCCTTTTGAAACTAGAACGCTTTGCCTTTAAGCCTCCCAGGCAAATGTGGATGGGCATGCATGTTTTAGGCAAGCGCACTGCATCTTAAGTCGCTTGTAGACGAAGCCGTGATCAAAGCCTACACTGAATCTACAAAATGTGACGTCACACAGAAAGTGTGTAAGAAGTAAGTAAGCCGCAAAACATAATTTATTATTCACACAGAAAATATATTCAAGAAGACAACGCACTGGAATAGATTTTTTAGATAGCAATAGAGAAAACCCATAATCACTACATAGTTTAAAACAAAGTCGCTATCCACCGTCTGTCTGTCCCTATTTATGCTTAAATCTTTAAATATTCTTTTCTTTCGGATTTTTCAATAGATAGAGTGATTCTTAAGGAAGGTTTATACGTACCTATAATACATGCATACGTAATGCACCCGTGCGAAACCGTGGCTGGTCGCTAGTCAACTATATCAGTTTCAACAGTATTGAACGGCCGGAGCTCTATATTATCTGAACTTAAAAAAAAGATACTTTTCTCTGAGATGGGAACCTTATTTAGTTATGGTCTTTTATTTAGTTATTGCATTCGCGATCTCTCGATTGACGAAGTAGTCAGACCGCTCCTAATTTTTATCCAAATCCATGTGTAGGAGTGTTTTATGTCAACTTAAAGTCACATAAAAGATGAAATATTTATAATACAACCATCAATTATATATTTCCCATCATTTACATTATAAATAAATCAAGCTTTGTCATTTTTATTGGACCAAATTTCACGCTACGTGTCTAACTCAGAAACTTAATATTGTATTCTTTGCCATATAAAATTCGTATAATAAAAAATATAATAAAATTGATGACATATTAGCTAACATGATCAAATAACTAAATATACATTTAAATTTTTTTAAACGTATTCTTACCGGCGGTATATGACTGATCCCAATGTCTAGTAAAGGCAATTTTAAATTTCTCAGTATAAGTGAACACCAGATGAAATGAAAATCAAAACTCACAGGCTTTCTACCCACAATCAGCTAGGTACTAATTAAATAAATATTAGTTTACTTAGCACACAATCATCTCAAAACATTGTGAATAAAATAAGACTGTATTACCATCATATTCTATAATTCTAGTATCATACCCAAAAAACAGAAAATAACTCATGTTTATACTCCCGGCTATACCCAAGCCTAGTTGATGACATAAAACCATGAAAGATGAAAGTACGGTGCAAAGAATAACGGACGCGGCCGATTGACGTTGCACATGGGAACTGTATGCTAATTCCGACCGTATTTCGGAGCTCTGTCAACGGGTAACAGCCTTCTGTCTGCCTATCCTACATGCAACGTGGATAAAATGAAAAAACTTCCAACAATCGGATGTTTACCCACGAGTTTCGAGATAGTTAAAAAAAATAGAAGCACGCTTTTAATCATACATGCATATACCATCGCCATGAGGAGATATGGAATTAATATATCTAGGTAATGAGCCAAATATTATATGCTGTAGTGGCCCGGGGACTTAAGTCGCTCACTTTTCTTGCATGAGGACACGTGTTCGACACCTACCAACCGCAAATACCAATGTGACTTTTTCCGACTTATATGTATGTACTTACTTTTTAAGATTATCTAGACACCTCCGACAATCTGTGAAGAAAAACATCGTGAGGAAATCTGGGCTTATAGTTTCTAATTATAAGCTTGAAATCGCCAACTCGCATTGAACAAGCATGGTGATTTATGCTCAAACCTTCTCCGTGCAAGAAGAGCCCTTTGGTCAGCAGTGGCCAATAATAGATGATAAGCCCAAATATTTAATAGTCCAAAATTAAATCCGTCACATTCCAATTCCATTAGACTAGGTTTATAGGACTGTAATATTGTATGGTCATCTAATCTACGAGTATTTATAGTTGCCAATAGTCAAATTTTATGATAATGCAACAATTGGAGAGTAATTCTGGTTCTTAGGAAATTCGTTGTAAGTCAATCAAACATAAGTTAAAAATTGCTTTTGTCCTTTACGTAAGTAAAGGTAAGTAAGTTCTTATTTTACTTGAAATGTGTGTAAGGGATCGTGATCTTTGATGTCTCTGTTTGTCTTATTTGGACTCCCTTTTAAGGGGTGATAGTTCAATGTTTTATTTTACTTCTGCTAAATAAATTGTTGTTGCTACAAGTTCATTTGAGAGATGCACACAAAATGCTCAACAGTTTGATTTTAAAAATTCAATTTAACTATAAAATAAATTTTTTAATAATTAATTATTTTGATAGTTACGAAATTTCAAAGCTTTAACATAACACCCTATTCGGATGAAACTACAATAATCCATCAGTAAGTCAATCTAAATATTTTTATAAAATAAAAATTATAATATTCTTTCAGCAACTTTTTCCAATAAATCTTAAATCTTGACATAAAAGTTATTCGTCAAAACATAAATTTAAAAATGATGCGTCGAAAGCGTTTCAAATAATAGGATTAACTTAATTTCAAAACAAGTCCGTCAATCCGGAGTTAAACTAATATAAATGAAATAGCTATGCTAATGGGTGTCCAAGAGCTAAGCAATAAATAATTTATTCTGGCAACATTGCCCCACTCATTTTTTATGAAGCAACTAAAAGCTCGAAATAAACCGACAAAGAATAACTCCATAAAGAGATTTCCTCATAAATTACAAAATTGTTTATGAACAGAATCTAAAGTATTTTACTTCAGTACTAATTCCGTAATGAAAAGTCTTCGTCAGTAGAAGTAAGTCGGCGGTAAGAGGAGCTGATATTAAAATATAAATTTAAACTGTATGAGGCAGCGTGTACAGAGGTAAGCCGTAATTAAAACAAACTACGTACAATTTACCCATCATTGTTCGGTAGAAGTTCACGAGCAAACAACACTAACACTCTACATTGAGATTGATGAACAGTTTCGGTTAGATTAAAGTATTCCGAACGAGGATTAATAATCTCTCGCTTTGAACATGAATGTCGAGGAAGCTACGCACAAAGCCAACATGGAAAGGGTATTAAACAGTGGCTTCAATAAACGGCCCAATAAGTTATGTAAAGTGCGGGTGCATCGCGTTACATTACAACCCCTACATGGGCCGCCGGGGTTGGGACGCATGCGCTCGCACCGCCGGCCGCGCGCGGCATATGCGGAATATTAAAGGAGGAAAGAGAAAAAAATTAACTTGTGAAGCCATTTTCGTCTATCGGCGGCCCCCGCGCCCGCCGTAGGGTTTCTGTGATGCAGGCAGAGAGGCTCGTGCGCCCGTCGCGACCGAACGCCGCCTCGCCGAACGCGCTACGGACGCCCCGAACCGCGACGACGACCGGTCCGCCCGGTCTTGTGATTACACCTTGTGCGACACATTATAATTGTGCAGTGTTATTTGGACATTTGAGAAGCTTCTGCTCCGTGAACATAGTGTTACTCTCTTACTAACTATCGTTTAACTTGTAAGTGCGGTCTAACTTAACTGTGAGTGTAAGTTTTGAAAAGTTTAATTTTATCTTTTACAGTGATACGTCTTAAAAAGTGAACTAAACTTTAATTGGAAGTCGTGTTTTATGTGCCGGGAATATTTGTTGAAGAAGTTTTGTATGAATATCAGTTGCTTTGCTTTATAGTAAAGTTGAAACTTTTACAACTTACTCTTTCTTCATACATTTGTGTGTGTCGTCCGATTCAAGTTCAAGAGCTTATGATCGAACACTTAAAAGGTATTTATTGGGTTTTCTATTAGACTGTAGCTACCTTATTACTTATTTTTATTTGTAGATAAATATTTTTTGTTGTTTGCTTAGCGTATTTCTGTTTCAAAGTGAAACAGAGAGTAAATATTAGTATGTATAATATCTGTTCCATCTGTCGCATGCATAATTTTATTTTGTACAAACATTTGTGTTTTTATTCGTTTACGGTTTTCAGTTTCCGTATTTATTTTACGTAGTGGTAGAATGTTTTCACCTGTTCATCGTATCAGCTGTCCTGTGAAACCGGCTTGAGGTGTATTTGACGAAAGTTAACCATGTAGTTCTATAAGGCACTGCAGAATCATCGTAAAGGATAAAACAGTCATAAAAGAAGAAACTATCGTGGCGTAGGTACCTCCTCAAAAGTTTTAATGGCATTCTGAGGATATAGTAAATCAAATCTTTTATTTATGAAGTAATAACAGTGGGACAGAGTGCACTCTAAAATAGACGTGTATAATAAAAAATCCATACTCCTCCCAATAAATTATCGGAAGACGTTCTTTTTATTGGAGTAACGAATGGTGAGATGAGTAATGGCGTAAGTTTGTCCGATAAATCATGCTTCCCGAAACTGTGAGGAGCTTCCGACGTAGGGGTAGTATTTGGCAACCCTCACTTGTTAGTCTTGTATCATATACTTACCGAGACAACAATCAATGGCGTAGAAAAATTAATGCTACAGTTTTTGCAGATAACATAAACATTTAAGAAACAAACACACCAGGGTTAATCAATATGAAATTGAAGATAGGCACAGAAGCATCGAATAACATGAAAGCTGTTTGAATGGCACTTGAGAATTAATAATTAACATGAATGGGATTGAAGTGCACTCAGAACAGAACATGCAATTTGTCATTGTTGGTCATGAAATCCTATACGCAACAATAATGGTAGTTAATAGAACACATACAATAAAATGATGTTCAACTTAAATGGTATTGTGAACGAGTAATAAAGTGGTAATTGTAGGAAAGCGATTCTTGTCAAGAAAATGGAAGTGCTAAATGGTACAACGGCCGATGGCCCGTGAAATGACACGTCGAGTGAACCGATACCCATTTGATGAACTATTGTTTAGGAATGTAGCCATGGGTGGAGGAGGATTTGACTCGCACTTAGATTTTCTGTAGAGAATTTAATAAATAAATTCTTGTTACTACATTTTCATGTTAATAGATGTAATAGATTATTGTGTGGTTCAATTTGTAGAATTTCTTTGAAAATATTTCTATTAACTACCACGACTGACATTTCTTATCTGAATTAAATTATAGAAAAATGTTAATCTGTAAAATATCTAATCATGATCTATGAGTTCTATATTTATAACAAGGATCATTAATATTTAACTTGCATATTATCCAAAACAAATTGATTGGACACAAACACAACTAGGGTAGGGGTGGATTATGAATATCGAGTATCAGACTAGGAATTATCGATAACTATGGAAGGCGTTCCCACGTTGCCGGAAGCAGGCACTGGATCGCCACGCTTCGGTACTTTGCTCTTTCACTATTGTCCCTTTGTCCGTACTTAGCTCCGTCAGGCCGTCAAAAGAGCGCCTCTTTATTCCACGGATCTAGTTTGCCGCACTTAATTCGTATTGCATCATTCGTTCCACACCATTTTCTTTTTTTAACATCGATCGCACCGATAACTCCCCCAATGTCGTGTCGTGCATTCGTAACAAAATTCTCTACACTACTTACCTTATCATATTTTTCAATCGGCTATTTGCTAGCTTATAATTATATAGCCGCACCACAATAGTTTGTAACGTATAATTTAATGCCTTATTACGGAGCTCTTAATTAGTAATTTCCTAGTCGAGCTTATGGCTAGCCGCCTTCATTTAGTTGCAACAGAGTTCAAGAACATAGCGGCCAGCAACACTAGTGAAATTTGCATTCTTGCTTCGCTCACCCGACATAGCCTAAGGACCACCCGCGTTGAAGTGCCTCCGATTCAATACCAACTTTATAACATCGAGATAGAATTTCAAATCAAGATTCCCGTTTCTCATCATACCTATCGTTTGCAATAAGATGCTCTACAATCTACTCGCGTCTACTCGGGCAAATTTCAATATGCGTACCGGGAGAATATTTTATGTTGGTTCGCCCGTCCCATTCTGTTAAGAAACAAAATCAGTTACGTAAACAAAAACAAAACGAAGGGCTTTAATTTGCGGTAAACATCTTTTCTGCAATACCGTAAATAGAAACTCTCGGCAAGATTTTTTTAATCTTCGTCCAACATCTCGAATAATACAGCTGCAGCATTCGAATCTCATTAGCAAGTGAAACAAGAGAAAAAACTCAAAGCAATAAATTTTAGCAAGGCTCAAGTGGAAACGTTTACGGTTCCTTTTAATTTGGTTGCCATTGTCGAGGCGTCCCGCTGCGCGCCGCCCGTTGGATTTCTTGCTAGAATTCCAGCTGTTTCAAACATTAGTTACTTCTTATTAGTTGATTACTAAAAAGAATTAAATGTTACATTTAATTATTTAAGTTTATGACATTATAATTAAAACTGGAGTAATTCATTAAAATTCAATAAAACAAAACCACACATGGGGCATAATAAATTCAAAATAGTCTAAAAGTTTCAATATCCTACAACCTAAAAAACACCGGCAGATGCAAAAGCAACTGAGTCAGAGGATCATCGCAAGTATCATAAATCAAAGTTGAGTTTATGATGGTATGATGGGACCAATAGCTACCTCTCTCGACACATTCGTGGAAGGCGTGTTTATTTTAAATGATTGAAGTAATTCCAAGGGTCTGGTGAAGGAACCAAAGCCGAGTGTGAGATCGATGACGTTGCGCTTTCTGGCCGCGCCGTCTGCCAGTCCACAGATAATATTAATACTAGCCCAGCTATCGATGGCGGCGATAAACTTGTTCGAGTGTGGAAAGATACCATACTACTACATCAATCATCCAGTAGTAATTGAAAACATGCAGCTGCGGCTTTACGATAAAACAATAAATAACCTTCACGACCCGAGTACCGAAGAAAATGTTCATTTCATTATCGTTATACAGAAATATGTTCTTTATTCGGGCGTTAAAGCAAGCGTTACTAGACATTTTATTACCGCAGCGACACGTGTTTTGCGAAGAATCCACACCAACTGCGGCCCAGCTGTGAGGAGCAGAACGTGCCGTTCTGGGTGCACATTAAAATTCCCACACATAAAATTCAATGATAAAAAAAAGGTTCACCCGATGGCCCCTTTCCTACTCACAACAAACAAGCAGGTAAGGGAATCTTTACGAGCCCAACAAAATGAAATATGCGCAATCCGGTGAAGGATTTTACATCTTATTACTGCTGCGTAAAGAGTCAGTTTGTGGAAGTGAATTGTAACAATGATCTTTTGCAACATTTGGAAAGAATAAAACCTTGTTTTCTTTTCTATTCTCTGACAAATTTATAATGCCATGAGATAAAAATATCATTGCGTTCTGATAGGAGTTTTTGAGGTCTTGGCAACCCCTTGGCTGCAGTTGATTGTACTTTATATGGTTTGCTTCCTCGGTGCGTCCGCTACATTTAGTGTTTTGATTACATAATGGGAACTAATGAAAATGAATGAGTTGGGATGGTCGGGACACGCATCCGCTTCAGGAAACAAAATGGAATAATGCATTATTTGTGTAACTACCGATGTATAAGTTATTGATTCTGAGAACCGCTTTGTTTGCTCGACAGCCACATGTTTTGAGGTCATTGACAAAACATTATGTCAAGAAACGATATCCGTGGGTACTAGGTGTAGGCATCTCGACGATATTTCGGGTCCTCTGTATCGATTCTCATCAATAATAGTTCGTGACTGGATTTCGGCTAATCATTGTAAGCGCTTAAACCGGCTGTGACAGCGTACTTGTAATACATTCCATTGTCGCCCGCCGCACCGCTGTGTGCCCGGCCTCTAATGTGCAGTGAGGTGGTCGGCCCAATCAAAACAAAGCAATATGATAAACTATTATGCATCAGCCACTTAACCACTATCAAGATAGTGTTAAGGTTGTCCCAAATGTTACTAATACGCCACTTCTGAGAACGAACGAAAAGGTCTTCGCCTTTCTTTCTAATTCGCGTTCAATTAAGTTCTCAAGAAAAATGATGAAAAGATATTTGCGATTGAAATTCAGTGAAAGCCTTTGAGTATGCCAATTACATTTTTTTCCAGCCATGTCTAGGTAGTTTAAGAATGACCAATGAATGTTTCTGTTAATGCCGTGTCCCTTCGCGGTTCATGACTGTACAAACTTAGGTGTGGGATTTTTATTCTCTCGCAAAGAGCTTGCATATATTATCGTAACTATGTTATCTAGCAACAAATATTGAGTACATCTTTGTTGGTGTGAATTAATTTGTTCAAACACCACACCGTTATAAAGAATAGTTAATGCAATGTAAACAGAGTTCTAACGTGTTCCTCGCGTTGGTTGCTTTAGTTATGGTATATTAGAGGTGTTTGTTTACATTATTTTTAAATTTCAAATAAGGTGGTGAGGTATCTGAGGTTACGTCGGGAACATAACGGGTTAGCCACGTTATGGTCAGCTACGTCCAGTGCTGGTGTCCCTTCGTCCAGCATACTCACCATGGAATCCTGATATTTCATGAATGTCAAAAAACTGTTCTGAAATAGTGCTAAATAGTGCCCAAAGGAAAAAAATAGTGCTCTTGTACTTGCGAAGTTATAGCCATAGTTCGATGAGTATGCTGGACGAAGGTTTCGCCCAGCATACTCACCTCCGTCCGGAGAATCTGTATACGCTTCAAACATAATTCATACTTCAAAAAATAGTTCCCAAATAGTGCCAAACGGTGCCCAAAAAGAAAAAACAGTGCTCGAATAACTTCGGAGTTATAGGCTTCGTTCAGTGAGTATGCTGGGCGTAGGTTCTACGCCCAGCATACTCACCTCAGTGCGCGAA